TATTCATTTCTTTTATGTGCGAGTAGTTTCTTATACTGCTGTAAAACAATATGATATTTTTCACGTAGAGTGGTATTTAAGGGATCTCTGTGTTTTCATTTGACAATTTCCTTAATTCGTGTCTTTTTAAGCGACATTCCTTATCAAACCATTTTTTATTTGAGCGTGAATAGGTGCGTTTACGTCGTCTCGTCGTTCTTATCTTAAGGCATCGTTTTGCCGTTGTGATAAGAATATTTTCTACCTGTTCCGCGGAGGTGTTAACATTTTTAGCTGAATTGATGTCATTTAAATATTCGTGAATTATCATTTGCAAATTTGGAGATTGAAGAGCTGCTTTGAATTTTGGTGTAGAGTCACTTTCCCACGTAAATTGTTTTGGTAATCGTGTTAAAGTATCACTCTCTGGTGAAGGATCTTGATTACGAATATCGGTGTCAGTGCATAACCAGGTCACCAGTGGACTATGATCCGATAAATACGAGGGCTCTTTAACAATAAAGTTTAGTATGTGTGAAAATAACGTTTGATCACATATGGCATAATCAACGACACTTATTCCAGCCTTTCCATGAAATGTGGCTCTTCCTAAGGAGTCTCCACTAACTCTACCGTTAAGTATTCTAAGATCTGCGCTTCTGCAGATTTCAAGAAGGCGTTTGCCGTGATTGTTAATGTTGTTGTCAAAACTATTTCTATGAGTGGAGCCTGAAGAAAGATGGGACTGATCATTGGTAATAATGGTGTTTCCTTCTTGGCTTACACAATCCGAATATTTTCCTGTTCTAGAATTAAAGTCACCCATGAGAAGAATCGATCCTTGAGAGTAAAAAGTTTCAATGTCGTTTTCAAGATCTTCAAACATTTCAGGGAGAAAGTATTTTGAGCCGTTAGGCGGAATATAGACGCCACAAACATAAATATCTTTTGAGGTTTTTACGTACTGTTTGCTAATTTTGAACCACAGAAAGTTCGAAGTTATTTTTTCTATTGATACCCAATTATGGAGTTCATTTTTGTAGAGTAAAGCAACTCCTCCTGAGTTGCGACCATTGTTTCCTAATTTTGAGGTCTATTCTGTCTAGTCTATTCTGTGTCCATATTATAGACCCCATCTTAGTCACTGTAGGAAAAAAGTAATTTTCACATATCCCAACTTGGTCACTTTCTGCTTATGTTTCTACCTTATGAAACCTTTTCCTAAAATGAACTGCCACATTTTTGTTGAACTTAATGTGGTGTAAATCTCTCTATTTTTAAATCCCTACATACCTGAATTTTCTAACCTCCAAAATCCTAAAAATGTGTGACCCCATTCTAGTAACTCTTATAAAAACGCAACCCCATAATAGTCAATCCAGTCGTGAAAATGCGACCCCATCCAGCGGCACATCCCCATTAGCCTACTACTAGGAAGATACAGTAAGGGCAGTATGATCGAGACCTTTTATACCCTGCCTGTATGTAGGTGCATGAAGTACAAGATCAGTGGGATGTGTGGCTAAAAAATATTAGGAAACAAAGAGAGTTAGTCCCTTTGTCCCCTCACTGTACTTGACTTACATGTAGTATGTTCCACAAAGTAAAGAGGTTATTTCTGGTCCTCCATAGTGCACTGATGTAGCCAATTCATAGGCAACTTTTATGAATCCAACTGAATGTTTGGGAGGAAAATGAATAAGAAAAACACTTTACTCCCTTAAAACATTGATGGGTTCATCACCCCCTCCCCCATTTCTTCTTCCAGAAAGACTTAAGCATGAGCAAACTTAAACTCCAAGTCAGAAAATGTTTGCGTGTCATCAGTATTTTCAAAGACCTAGGCTCTTTTAGAATGAGGAATCACTCAACAAGATCGAAAACAGGGGTCTGTACTAGGAGGTTTTTACATTAATTTTGCAGAAATAAATTAAGTAGCACGTCTTTTCCACTGAAGCTAGAGTGACATGTGCTTTTGGTGAATTAGCTTACAAGTGACGGTTACTATTTATACGTTATTTATTAACCTTTAAGTAGTCAATAAATAAATTTGAAATATAAAGGAAAATGGGAAGTATGTTTATATTTATTACAAAAATCAATAGTATTATTATGATGTAAGATTTGTAGGCGTTTTGTATTTACATTGTGAATTTGGGTGGTAATTGCTGACCCAAAAAATTGTAAATTAAAGTTGAAAAATAAAAATAGTAGACAACAATGCGTTTTTAAGTGGTGTCTTTTTTGTTTTTGTATTTCACATAGTTCATCTTGAAACAAATATTTCATTGCCTTACAAAAAGAAGAAAGAAAAATAAATAAGAGAAAAACAAAAAGAAAAAAAGTGCCGTGACCAGGATTTGAACCTGGGTTACTGCGGCCACAACGCAGTGTCCTAACCACTAGACGATCACGGCAACGATGGAAATCAAGCGAAGATTTATTAGCTTTAATTTCCAACAAAGACCACCTGTCATTTACCTGCTGAGAAAAGGTACACAACGCGAACAAACTTCTCGGTTTTTTCCTTTGTACTGAGTGCGTCGAGTGCCATTTCCTCCCATTTCCTCCTCTTTGAAATAAAACGCCCGCAAGGATTTATAGCTAGACAAGTTTTCATTTTGTTCAAAATCTGCAAAATAGTGAGGCTGGTATTCAGCGAGACAACATTTTCAATCAAATTTTGTGTTCGGAGGATGTCTTTCTCTGATAAGTATGAGTCGCGTCATAGCTGATGACGTAAAAAGCGGTGCAAAAGACTGTACTGTTCGCAGACGAGCGGGTGCGGGTTTAACTGAGCTGTAAATGCGCTACAATGATGTTCATCAAGTTTTAAACATAAAATTCTGAACAATTTTTCATTAGCAATGTAAAAAAATGCCCATTGCTTCAGATCTTAGTCGTCCTTTCGTTCCTCATGTGGATATGTTCGAAGGATATTATTTTGTTTGGTCCTTTTAAATAAAACGTCCTCTCAACTAGAAATTTCATGTTGTTTGTTTGCAACGGACGGCCAGGAAATGTTCTTAAAAGTGTGATGCCCGTGCAAAGTTCTTTAATATTCTGCTCATTAAGTTTATGTTTTTTATTTTTAATTTTTTTACACTGACAATCTAGTTGTTGCCTTCGTCGTCTGTTTCGTTAACTCCCTAGTCTTGACTATTTTCCCATGACATCCCTTCATCCATGTACAAGCGAAAGCTTTTCACTTTCCTCCCAGTTTTGAGTAAAACGTGAAAACATGTTGCGTCGCACCTGACGGACCGGACGCTCTACAAAACTTTGCGTGCACGTGCAATGCTAGTTTTTTTATTTGTCAGTTGCACGTGCGCATGAAATAAGAGTCGTTTTTGATTGGTCAACAACATGACAAAAATTATCTAATTAGGAATAGTTCGCCAAGTTCGGAGCTTTACCTCCACTAACCGTCAAAACATGGTACGTTTGCAGGGAAAACGTTTGAACGAAACGAAAAGACATGAAGAGACTTTATCGAGACTTTAGGTAAGTCGGGGAAGCTAGAACCGTATCAATACATTTTAATACGTATCTTTGGGGTCTTCGAGTCTTCTTGTAATGATAACCCTTTTGAAAATCTTAGTACTGATTACAGCAGTTATACAAACAAGTTCATTAAAGTTTACTCCAACAAAAGACTGATAAAAGTGTTAAGTTTTTCATTTTCAAGCAAACAGTTTTAAAGTTTAGCGTTTATTGGAGCCGCAAAGATTCAGTGATTGGTGCGTTTCTCCTAGTCAGTCAAGTTTTCCTGTTTACGACCTTTTTTAAGCTGCTCGGTTGCGTTTTCAGTCGAGATGTTGTGCACATGGAGAAGACTACCTAAAAGCCGTATTGTCATTATATGTCAGCGATTTGTTAATGTGACGTCTGGTGAAAGTTCTCACTTGGCTGGACCCTGCAGTTTTTTCCTTTTTGGGTGTGTTTTTCGCCCGGGGTTTTTTCTTTGGTGTTTCGTAAAGGTCCGTAAAGTAAGAGATCAACGAGAAAACGATAGGGAAGTACTGATGTTTTCTCGCTGTTTAATGGTGTCTGGAAGAGAATTTCACAACGCTGAGGCACAACTATTCTGCAGCAGCATTACTTACTGGCTCTTAACAAGTAGGTTCTGATTTGCCGATTGTTAAGTCCACCAGGGAGAGGGTTTATGAATAATAATAACAATAATAATAACTATATTTAGATAGCACTCATATCCTGAGCTCATGACGCTTTACAATGTAAAAAAGGGAAAATGAAATAATTTACATATCACAAGCATGAAACACACACAAAAAAAGACTGAACATGAAATTAAGTCAAGTTCACAAAAATTATATCTACATGCTGTTCAATTACAGCAAATTTACAAATAATTTAGACAATTTACAAAATTGGAGTTTTTTGGTGGGGAATAGAAATTATTTTCACTCTGATAAATCCCAGGATTTAAGAAATTGCAGCTTCTAAGAACCACAGGAAAAAGTAACAGATTCCCATTATTGGATATTCCCAACCAGAGAACTTGGTTGGGAATTCCCTGGTTGGGACTTGTCTCACTTTGCCAAATTTGGGATCTTTACGGGTATTCTTTAAATACCCTAAAATATCCAATAATGGGAATCTGTTATTTTTTCCTGTGAACTAGAATGTCACTGTTTCCAGAGTTATGGTGCATATCATTACTGATGACAAATTGTTGCAAAAAAAAAAAACAAACAAACAAACTACAACGGCAGACCCTCACAGAACACAAATAGTGTCTGTCTTTGCATTGTCAGGTCACATGATAGCACATTTATCTTTCCCAGTTTTAATGTCTTTGAATGAGGCGTGTTGAAGAAAGTTGTGTCTTTTGAAAATTCTCATTGAACAGCATGAAGTAATTTGTAAGTAAGATTCATTTTTCAACCCTCTCGGTGACAGTTCTTCAAATGGTATTTGAGTTTTCTCTTTCCATTCATTTTTCTCAAAGTCATAGCAATCAATTTTGTCTTTTCGATTCCACGCACAAATAAGTCGGATCAAACAATACAGCTTGTCATCAACACCCAGCAAAGTTGGATTGTAATGATCAAAATTAATGGTGTCTTCCTCAGCCTTGCTACAAAATGCCATTCCTTTGTATCTTCATCATACATTTCACAACTCTCAGCTAGTAAATCACCTTTTACTCCACCAACCACAAAAATTTTGTGGTGTGTTGCAGTAGCGCGAGCATACCATCTTGGAAGCTGAAGGTTTGCTAAATTCTCCCATGTATCATTGATGAGATCATATCTGTCAGCACTTGCAAGGATCTCATGTCGATCTGGGCTGCAATAACCACCACCAATGAAATAAACAAAATTGTCCTTGGCTACAACGCAAACCCCCGATCTTGAATTACAGTCCAAATCAAATGATGTTATGTCTTCCCAGGAACTGGTTTCTGGTTTGTACTTTCTCAAGAAAGAAAGATGTGGGGTCTCACTACAGGGTCCAGGAATTTTACGGAGGTACAGGGATGTACAGTCAGGGCAACATAGTATATCTTCAGCCACCAGGGCATAAATTGCCTCATCATTCATAGCAAATATTTTCTTCACTGTCCTGTGATCCTCATATGGAAATGAAGACCAACAATTTGATAATGGATCATAGCACAACAGTCTTCTCTCCCTGACTCCAACGTCCTCATGAGGAAATAAATGAAAATAAAGTTTTCCATGACAGGGTACAATTTCTCCAATATTGGGTGGAACTGTGCCATTAAACTTATGTATCAGTCAAATGGAAGCTTCAACATGACCCCCCGGGCATACCCCGGGCATTTGACACCTTTCCCGTCCCTGGGAGGAGGGAATTTGATGATCAGAGTCTTCCAGTGGGTGGGGAATTTGAACTGCACCCTCGATTTTATGTAAAATCTTTGGCGTGGTGAGCTATCATGGGGAACGCGGTGTTAGAGGATTTTCGTGGAAAAGATTGTGCCTTTGTGGCCAATTGGTTACGAGGAAAGGGCTTAAGCAAGCTTTGTGCCGTATTTGAAGTATTTAAATTTTAAAATTTTTAATTGGATTCAGGCTTTGAATGTATGAATGTGTTTTATTGTTGTGTTTATATTGAAATACAATACCTATACCGGTGATTCAATACAACAACATAAAATAAAATAAAAAGCTCAGGTCAACTACTTTGACCTTCTGCAAGTATGTTAATTAATAAGGTGAGCGATGATGCATGTCAGTGAAATGGTCATGATGTAGTAATCTCAATTGGTGGAATCTTTTTTTATAGAACGCTTTGTATGTTGCATGACGAAGAAAAGTTGAGCATTCAGTGACCTTGTACCAGCGATTTTCGCCGCTTTGCACGAGAATTTTGTTCGTAGTAAATACGCTAACAGTGTTTCTCAGTTTTTGTTATATTTGTAAAGATTTTGTTCGACAACTGAAGGCGTTTCCGCCGTTCCTCTGTCATTTTTGTGCCTGTGAAATGTCCCCAGGGTGGGGGCATTTGATCACCTGAATGGACCCTAGCGTGGGGTATTTGAACGGCATTTTGGCCCGGGTAGGGGGGAATTTGAACAATAATTTTCAAAAAAGTCAAATGCCCGGGGAGTTGCCTGGGGGGGGGCATGTTGAAGCTTCGATTTGACCGATACATTAGACCATTTGTCTTCAAGCGGATAGTAACAACATAGCATGTTGTCTTCCTGTTTACTGAAACCTTGTACACATATCACCATGACAGGCATCTCTAGTGACTTTGTAGGACGAATACTGCGCTGCTGAAAGTCTTTTGATTCAATGACCTTCAAAGCATCCTTAACAAGCCCCACGCTGTGTTCATCACTAATCACAAACTCACTTGTCATGACGTCGCTGTATAAAAACTCACGTGATACATACACAAGTCGAACTTCACTGAATAACTCGGGGAAATATTTCTTCCGCACCAGTTTATTGCGATTCACCCATCTAAGAATGACCTTGAATACATCTTCTTCGGCAGTTACAGAAATGTTGTCATTTGAAATCCACATTTTGATTTCTTCGCACGACAAGCTCAAGAACTCCTCCGTTTGCGCTACGTGCATGAAATTGGCATGAATGAAGTTTCTGGTCTCGAAAATGAGCTCGTCACATTGATATTTCACGCCAAACTGGTAAAATGAAACAGAATTTGATATCTTTAAGTCCTTCATTAAATGTTTTCCAGCAACAGTCTTCAGACGGGGTAAAACCAAGTAGTCTGACATTATGATCAAGTCTTGAGCACCATTTTCTTCTGCAGCCGAAATCTGAACATGGCCTGTGTAGATAAATTCCAATATATCCCCCAAACATTGCTCGTTTGTCATTTCTAAGGGGATAACTCCTTCAATAGACTCTTTCATGTCACTTTTAAGCAGCCTTTCAAAGAAAGGACTCGCCTCTGAAAGAACCCGTCTACGCGCTTTGAATTCCTTCCCATCTTGGATCGCCAGAGTAAGGTCAAATGGATGATCAAGTGTTTCTTTTGGAAGGAAGAGTTGTTGTGTGCTTGAAACAGTGCGAATTGTGGCTTCTTGCGAAGCTTCCACAGGGGCACCCAACGACCGTTTTCGGGGAAATATCTGTTCGGAGCCCTCGGCTGCGAGGAGCCCAAGAACAGCTTTTCCATTGAAATTCGTTGGGCTCAGGCAATATAAAATTTCGCATTCGATCAGATTCTGTTCTCTGGGAAACAAGAATAGAGCAAAATTTTTAAGTGCCGTGCGAATTGGGGTACTTTGAAACTGGCTTTAAAATCATTACCACTATACGTTAGTTTAACTGGACAGGGAATTTTCTATACATTCTACGTCGCCCTAGAAAATTCCATTCTCACACTGAGAAAACTGAAAGGACAGGCGTAGTCTCACGTTTTCGGAAAGCTTCCTGGGACAAATATTTAATTGCTTTTAAAGCACTACAGGATGCATAACGAGCCATTTCAGATCATTTCCCAGAAAACGTTGGGTGCCCCTGCTTCCATTGCCTTTTCTGACAGAATTTTGCCATAAACTACGTAGTTTATGGACAACCGCTGGGTAGATTACCAAAACTGCTCGATTTTCTGACAGAATTTTGTAAACGAGCGCCTGCAGATCTTGGGCTAATTCATTTAGTAATTAATTAGTTCATTTAGTAATTAGGGGTTAGTAGTCGCGATAACTGGAGAATCCCGGGGGTTACACATGTACTTGGGTCAAGTTTGGCTGGGTGTGCCCCGGGGGTGTGCCGCTGGCCTCTCAGCAGAGCCCCCTACCAGATATTCGGTGGCCAATTTTAGACACCATCTTAGTCACTTTTAGGCAAATGTAGTTTTCGCGATCCTAACTTGTCACATTTTAACCTCGAATCCTCCCTTTTTAAAAACCCTGCTTACTAGAATTTTCTCCTACCCCCAAAATCCTAGCCTGCTACACAGCCGTTTTTAGTGTCGTCACGCAAAGTGGTCTCCTACAAGGGGTTAGAAACAATGGAAAATTATAAAACCGTCATCGTAAAAAGTGGTCGCGGTCGCTTAAGAGACCAAGGTGGTCGTTTAGGAGAGGTTTGAACGATAAGGCTTTGACTGTTCAGCTTGGATCCCGGGTGGAGATGGCATGACAGATCAATGTCATAACCAGTTTATGAAGGGCTTACTTACGTCATTGATGGCGCTATCACGACGTCATGACATTTGAGACCGAATGTCATTACACTTAAGAGTTAATTACAATTGACGGAAAATGTTATTCAAACTCAATTACATTTAGGGCGCAATGTCATTACTTTTTGGACTTGGTCACTCTGGCGAGAGGTTGTCGCGCATGGAGGTTCGACTATAGTGTTGAAACATAATGTAAGCCCTTGTGATCCCTCCTGAGGAAGGTTCCACTGAAACTAAGCCAGAGATATTGGTGGATAGATTTAACAGAGACAATATGACGACCGTGAGGACGGTGCACGCAAAGCTGAAAAGTGATTTTATCAATCAGGCAGAACGGCAAATTGAGCACCGAAAGTCGCGCTCAGTCCTTTCCAGCCTAGGATAAACTCTCAATCATGTAAAGATCAGAGAATATCTTGTATGTTTTCTGACAAGCATCTTCAACAAACCATTGTATTAATGAAAAGTAACGACAAGCTGAATCCTCTTGAAGAATCAAAAATAAAAAAGAAATAACATTTTACTTACCTCAAAAAGTTTCTTCCGTAAAGAAATACACAAATGCCTCGAGTGATATTGCTGCAACAAATAGTGCATGCAACAAAACAGTGCAAAGTATATACGGGACATTTTGTCTTAAGCCTCATTTTCAAACAAACCGATTCAACTTTAACAGCCGTCAATATGAAAAAAAGCCGACCACTTTGCCCGAGCCAAGAGCTGATAAAAACGTTCGTGTATGCTGCGATTATTTCGTCTTGACCGGGATAGCCCGGCTGGGCGAGCCAACGAGTTTATGTGAGGGTCATCCTACCATCTAAAAAGGGCTACCCGGTAATAGACGAGTCAACCCTGATACAAGCAAAAAGTTTGTTTCTTATATAAACGGTTCCCCGAATTTTTTAGGAAATGTAAGAAACGTAGGCTCGCTCAAGGTACTTCTGTTCGGCGAGTGACCGTTCTACCATGAACTATACATGTTAACGGAACCTTGTTCTTTAATTTAAAAAGGCATCCAAACGAAGTTAATGTCGTGTTAAAACATTCTTGTCCACTAATGAGGCTATCGCTTCGTTGGTTTACTTTTATCCTTTTTAGTATAATTTAAGGGGTTCTTTTCAATCTATGACAAGCTTACTGGTAAAATTAAATACAGTAAGTTGACAAAAATTGGTCGTGGGGAGTTTTGGTGTCGTTTTCTCCCCGTTTCCCACCCCCAGAGGCCATCATTGCCCCTCCCCTCCCCTCCCAGAGAGCTTGCTGGCAGGCTACCCATGGTAAAAAAAAAAAACAAGACAAAGCAAAACAAAAGACAGGAAAAACTAGAAGAAGAAATAATATTGTACGAGAACGTATTAAGAGTGTGTCCATGAGAAGACCAGGCAGAACCAGGCAGGGGGTGATAATGCTCAAATCACCGATTTCGCTCAAACTCGGCACAAATGTTAGGTATCAGGAGTTAACTTATGTGAAAGAATGTCAGGTCCAAATATTAAATTCCCTGGGAGATCCGGGCTCCCCCTGTAAAAATCGCCATTTTGCCCGTTTTATGCATAATTAATTAGCTAACTTTACAATGCCAGTGCAACAAACAGAAAAGCCACCCTGAACTTAAATGCACTGAGAGATGATCTGAGTTCATAAGACTTTAAGCACGTTAAACTGTTTAAAGTCGCCGATTCGATTTCCTCCCTCTTAGCCCCCTTAGGTTGGGTCATCATTTCCAAGTTTTGAGTAAGTCGTAAAATTAGGGTATTTTATTCCCAAATATCTCTGATGAGCAACAGCTTATCTTTATAACTTTTGCATGAGTAGTTAAAGCCATCACTTAAGTTGAGAAAAAGATCATAAAAAGTTTGGGCAATTCACTTTCTTCCATGTGTTGACATAAACTGTTCATGTGACTGAACGACTTTTGCATATTTCATCAAAATTCAGGCCCTCACAATATTCGTGTGTTTGCCTTTGAATGAGGAGAAATCAGACAAAAAAACTCATCAGACAATGATTTAACATTAATAAGGGTAAAATCGTTGAAATTGTTGTGCAAGAAACCCTAACGATGATTTTTGATAGCTATATAAGCGATCTTTTCAACTAAAAACAACATACAAAGATTTAATTCACAGTTTTACTTACGTTAACAATTTCGCCCTAAAATCAATATAAACGGTCAATAAAATCCATGTACGTATCTCTTAGATGTTTCAACTGCTAGTTTGTGCACGCTTTGATTTGTTCCCCATGCCACCGTCGATGTCCAGTTAAGCCACAGGGAGCCCACACAATAGGTTTGTGTAGCCGATTGTTATTTTATAGTAAATGTACTGGATTTACCGTTTGCTTCACCTATAGCGATATATCGCTAACTATGTATATAAATCAATGATAAATAAACGTTGAATTACCTTACCTGTGGTGTATAGTCGTCCGTTTGCCTCAAAAGCGGTTTTTTGAGCGATTTTGAATGAATTTGAGTTCGCCGTTGACTGTTCCATATAATAGAAGGACAAGGGAGGAATCCTTGTTTTGAAAGGGTTCCAGCGCCGGAGCGATTTTCACCCCCAAAATCGCATCGCTCCGCTTTCAAACTTCGCAGCATAAAGGTTAAAAGATTCACGATTCTTCTCGTACCTTCCAATCGAAAATCCATCCAAACGGCCCGGAGCTAGCCCTCGAAGAAAATCAAAATCCCACAGTATTCGAGCGACTGGAATTCGTAGCAAGATCCATACGTGCCAGCCAGAAACCGTCCCGCTGATTGCCTCTTTTTGATTGGATGTCGTTAAACAACAAACGCTTACCAAGTCTTCTTCATCAGTTATTATTTAACCATTTGTTTAACGACATCCAATCAAAAAGAGGCAATCAGCGGGACGGTTTCTGGCTGGCACGTATGGATCTTGCTACGAATTCCAGTCGCTCGAATACTGTGGGATTTTGTTTTTCTTCGAGGGCTAGCTCCGGGCCGTTTGGATGGATTTTCGATTGGAAGGTACGAGAAGAATCGTGAATCTTTTAACCTTTATGCTGCGAAGTTTGAAAGCGGAGCGATGCGATTTTGGGGGTGAAAATCGCTCCGGCGCTGGAACTCTTTCCAAACAAGGATTCCTCCCTTGTCCTTCTATTATATGGAACAGTCAACGGCGAACTCGAATTCATTCAAAATCGCTCAAAAAACCGCTTTTGAGGCAAAAGGACGACTATACACCACAGGTAAGGTAATTCAACGTTTATTTATCATTGATTTATATACATAGTTAGCGATATATCGCTATAGGTGAAGCAAACGGTAAATCCAGTACATTTACTATAAAATAACAATCGGCTGCACAAACCTATTGTGTGGGCGCCCTGTGGTTAAGCGTAGTTCAGCGCCGTGACTCGCTGTACGACTAAAATTTCTTAGCCATCAGTTTACGCACCAAAATCCAAATCAAGTTGTTTTAGGAGAAAACAATACGAAAAGTAGAAAGCCGATTTTTAACCCATTGAAAGAATTATTTCTGCCACTGTTGTAGCTCAATTCACATGTTACAAACGTCCGCCATCTTTGACATTAACTGGAGCCCGCATTTTTAAGCAGCGGTTGCCACCATACGGAAACATCGTATCGGGAGTCAGGAGCCAGGATCCAGGAGCGAGAGTCCAGTGAACAAAATTCAGTCGAAAATATGACTTTCCGACATTCTTTGAGATTATTTTATTGTTATTGTATGC